CATAACTAGAAATTCATAGTGCCCATAGCGGGTTCTAAACGTCGTCTTGGGCACATCCTCATGCCTAATTTTTAATTGATGGAAACCAAACCTTAGATCAATCTTGGAGAAAATCGATGCACCTTGCAATTGGTCAAAAAGATCATTTATTCGTGGCAATGGGTAATTATTTCGAATGGTGACCCTATTCAATTGTCGATAATCTATACACATCCTTATACTACCATCCTTCTTCTTAAATAACAAAACTGGAGCACCCCATGGGGAAGCACTAGGACGAATAAATCCTTTATCAAGAAGCTCATGGATTTGAGTCTTAAGCTCTCTTAATTCTGTCGAGGCAATGGGATATGGAGGGATGGAAATAGGACAAGTACCAGGTTCTAAATCAATGCAGAAATCTATATCTCTATCCGGAGGCATACCAGGAAAATCCGTAGGAAACACTTCTCTAAATTCTGACACAACCGGAATAGACTCAATAGATGGAGACTCAACCTCAACATCCCGAATATGAGCCAAATAAGCCAAACAACCCTGCCCTACCGGTTTCTAGCTCGAATAGAGGATATGATCTTATCTTGCTTAAGCTTGTACACCCTTTTCTTCCTGGAATTTCGAGAGTTACAGACTTTGTATTACAATTAAGCACAACATAATATGAGGACAATCAAGTCATGCCTAAGATTATATCAAAGTCAGTCATATCCAAAATCACCAAATCACCCCAAGTTTGAAAACCCATAAAAAAAATAGGACAAACACGATAGACATGGGTGACTATGACAGACTCTCCAATTGGGGTAGAAACATGGATAGGGGCATCAAGTAAATCACAAATCATATCAAACTCGGAGGCAAATCGCATGAATACATAAGAATTAGTAGAACATGGATCGAATAACACATTAGCCATCCGGTCACAGACAAGAATAATATATGTGATCACTGCGTCTAACGCCTCTGCCTCATTCTTTCCCGTAAAGGGATAACACTGAGCCCTATTCTCATGTCGAGCAACTTCCCTGCCTAGTTGAACGTTACCCCTTCTTGCGTTACCATTTCCTCTACCTCCACGGTCTCGCTGATTTTCTCCTAGCCCACCTTGTGGATGCCCTCGACCATTATTACAATTTCCCGCGGGTACCACTCTCTAGTCTGCTGCTGTACGAAATCCATCATGCAAGGGTGGGGACAATCTCTCCTCATATGCCCAGGTTCTCCACAGTTGTAACATATACGATCAAAAGATGGTCTGCTGCCCCTCGAAGGCGTTTCTCCTTGGCTATCCTGAATCAAATTATGAGGTGGATTTCCCGAGTAATTACCTATAGAGAAAGTATAGCAACTTAATTGGCCTGGCTGCAAGTGTTGGCCTCCATGAACCTCTAGAGTAGGATCCCTGAAAGTTGCCTGAATTTTTGGCTTTCTTAGCCAATGCCTTGGCCTGACCGTCTCGCCTCACCCTCTCCACTTTCTACACAAAGTCTGTCACTTCATTAAACCTTTTTCCTGCAGAGGTCATATGAAAATACAACACTTGTAACTCAGAATTCAGTCCCCTAACAAACAGACGAATCCTCTCTTCTTTCGTAGTCACTAATTGCGTAGCATATCTAGACAAAGCATGGAACTTGGCCTCGTAAGCAGCCACAGTCATACCACCTTGCTCCAAATCCATGAACTCATCTTTTTTACGATCTCTCAAAGTCTGGGGCAGATTTTTTTCTAAGAATAGAGCATGAAACTGAGTCTAAGAAAACGAGGGTAAAGTTGAAGATCTACACTCCACATAAGCTCTCCACCACTGCTTGGCCTCACCTTGAAGCTAAAAGGTCACAAACTCAACTCCATGCTGATGGACAATTCCCAACTTATGAAGCCTCTCGTAGCAATCTAAGATAAACTCATAAGCATCCTCACTCTCAGAACCAAGAAATACAACATGCTTTAGCTTCAAAAACTTAGTCAACATGTCATGCTCATTACCAATCATAACAGGACGCAACAAAGGATGAAAGAAAGCATCAGTACCTCCAGTTCCACCCATCTTGGGGGCAATGTTAGCAACAGGGGGGTGGGCGGGAGCCTGAGCTGCTTGAACAGAGGGAAGCACTCCAGCACTAACTAATCCTTTCAAAAACCACATAATCTTTTGAGCTAACACTGGGTCTAAGGGAGGAATACCTGTAGTATCAGTCTGCACCTCTTCTTCTTGTCCAACATCGTCCTTATTCTCAACCTCCACATTCTCCTCTATCTCTTCATGATGCGCAAACTGGTTCTTATTTCGGGGAGCATTCTCAACATGAGCTCCATCCGTAGTAGGTGTTACTCTTCCACGACCTCTACCCCTAACTCTTCCTCTACCCCTGCCTCGACCACTACCTCTCGCTGTAGATTCCTCAGCTCGAGCATTGACGGGAGCTATAGTTCTGTAGTGTACAAATGCAATAAAAGAAGGCGGGGATTGAAAGAATACCCTTAGTTTGGTAATTACGGGTTTGCTGCCCGAGCATTATTGTTGAGTGAGATTGGACTACCTAAGCATGTTTAGTAACTACTAATACTAGTTTATCACCTACTCTATTGTATATAAGTATTTGAAAAGAAAGGAAGGTACTTCAAGGTAACTACAAGGTGGTACAGCAATGTATGTAAGGCTTTTCGATTTCCTACTAATTGACATGAAATCTAGACTTGTCCTCGACATATAGAGGCAGCCTACCAGCTCCAACACGACTTATGACCTTGTTCTCACTCTTTAACATGTCTGCACGTTCCAATACATGTTCATTGTCAAATCT